AGGGGAAGGGGAGGGTGAAGTGTGAGTGAGGAAGGAGTGTGTGCGAGGAGAGGGGGAGGTGGATGGTGTGTGTGAGAGAGAGAGAGGGAGGGTGAGGGAGAGATGGAGAGGGTGAACTGTTTGAACATAGCTGCAGTTCCTGATTTGCAGAGAGGCACAGGTTGAATATTTTGCAATGAGTAAGTTTGCACGCAGGCTCAATGTAGACAGAGACCACAAGGATTACAACCAGAACTGAAATCCCTTTCTCAAAAATATCCTGGCTGGAGGATGGTTTTAAAGTACAACCCTTCACAACACAAACCATCCACACATATCTCTGGCAGTGTTGGTAGAGACATGTTTTAAATCAACCTGTCTAGAGATGTTATTAACAATGAGTGGTGCAGGTGGGACTTGTACCTGGGTTATCTGTCTTAGAGGAAGGGATGCTGCCCCAAGGGCAGTGGAGTTGTAACATTGTCTTATTCTGGTGGTCCTGACCGTTAGGAGATGATGCACAGGGGAGTTCCCAGTTCCGAAGAATAGTCCTATAGGATCTGAAATGCTAACTCTGTGTTCTCTGTCTCCAGAGAGGCTGCCAGACTGGCTGAGTTTCTCCAGCACTTTCTGCTTTTAATAAATGATTGTTGGTGTTTGTGTGTGCATTCATTCCACAGGCTGTCTGCGTGAAGGACATCTCTCCCAACCTGCAGAGCTGTGAACTCATCCAGGATGGTCTGAACACTTTCCAATGCAAGGCTGATGTATATCTGTCGCTGGACTCACAGGACTGTATGAACGCCTGATCCCACTCATTCTCTCGCCCTCAACAGAAACCCCTACAAACTGATCCTGACACTCAGTGTTTCATTACTTTTATCCATTTTGAACAATTTAGAATTGACCCTGAATTTACTGTTAACTCCTAGCTCATGAACCTGTGTTAAAGTACATGAAACTAATTCCTTTGCTGCAGGGCAGTTCCCCAGTGTCTGACTATTTTTGTTAATGATTGATTGCAATATTTAAATACATTTCAGTGAATATGGAGAACCATTGTATAAATGAGCTGTGCGTTGGTGCAATTCTGATGTGTCTGTAACTTAAATGACTTATTAATTATATTTCAGCCTTAAAACGTGTCCTGGCTCCTGTTTGAATGTATGGCATTTGACTGTCCTTTAAATACTTAACAATAACCTACAGGAAAACAGTCCAGGATGAAAAAAGATCTAAACTTGAGAAAAATACAGTAATTTTTAAAAAAATTCTCAATTCTCATATATAGCAAATCATATAAACAGCAGTTAATTTGTAATGAAGGAGGCTTATAGAGGGAAAGTCATAAGTCGTATGACTATTTATACAGAGAATCTTATTACTTTTGTCCCATGTGTGAGAGAGAACATGTGCACGTATGCACCTGTAGGTGTATAAATGTGTACATGTGCACTGTATCTGTATATACACTATAAATATGTGTCCTGCATCTGTTTATGTACACTCTGGGTATTGAATGTGTGTACATCTGCATATACTGTATCTGTTCTGTATCTGGGTGTGCATGTGTTACATTCAGGATGAGAAAAATTAAACAAACACATCCACTCTAAGACAGCGACTATTACTATGTCAAATGCAGGCAACTCTTTTTAAAAATGCATTAAATTTTGGGTCCCTTCATCAAATACAGAAAAGCCACTTCACTGCAGCTGCTCACAAAAGTCTGATAAAACACCATGTAATACATATCGAGGCTGGTCTGGTGGATAATAATGTTCAATTTCCAAAATTGTATACATGAACCAACTTAAAAACCTGAAAATAACAAACACAATTGAACATTTCAGACAAAAGACCAAAAAACATCTCGGGAGACATGAAATGTTTAAGGTGGGAACAGTTCTGTGTTTGTTTAATAAAGGCAAAATATTGCAGATGTTCGAAATCTGACGGAAAGGTAGAGAAACTCAGCAGGTCTGGCAGCATCTTCAGAGAGAGAAACAGAGTTACTGTTTCGTGTGCAATGGGCCTTCTTCACAATGGGCTTTTGTATAGGCAGTGGTCAGAAATAAAACTCTGCAAGTGCCTTAAAATTAATTAAATATTTCACTTCGTCAAAACAGGGCTTCCCCATCACCAACCTGCTTTGTTTCAATGCCTCCCTTATCCTAGCCCACTTCTGATTTCTTCCCCAGTCTTTCAGCCACATTCACTTTGACTTTCTTTGATTGTAACCATCACCTGAATGGGGGTCTCACTATAATCCTTTGTGTCTTCTTCGGCTTTTTTCAAGTCTCTGTACATCTGGAACTAGGAAACAGAGTCTGAGAATTAGGGCCAGACCATTCAGGAGATGTTAGGAAGCACTTCTACACACAAAGGGTGAGAGAGGTCTGGAACTCCCTTCCACAAATGGCAACGGATGCTAGTTCAGTTGTAATTTTAAATCTGAGAAAGATAATGTTTTGTTGAGTAAAGGTATTAAAGGCAGATAAATGGAGTTAGGCTGCTGATCAGCCAGGATCTCACTGAATGCTGGAACAGGCTCAAACGGCTTAAGGGCCTCCATCTATTCCTGTGTTCCCTCAGGTCAACATCTCAAAGTTACCCACACAGATATTTTCTTCTGTTTTTACTGTCAACTCTCTCCTTCCATTGGTACCAGCTACCTTTTCATTCTTCTCTAAAGTGGCAACTGAGACATTCCACTCCTCCAGGCCTCCAGTTTTTAAATCTTCAATCCTTCCAAATTTATCCACCTACCCTAACAGTGATGAGTGCTTGGAAATCCAACATTCATTAGTCCATTCCCACCCTCTCTCAAAACACATACAAACAACTTCTGAAAGGTGGCTGTGGTGGTGGTGGTATTGGGGGGTTTTGTTAGTGGCACAGTGCTGGCTGAGTAACCCAAAGACCACACCATACAGGAGCAGAATTAGGCCATCTGGCTCATCGAGTTTGCTCTGCCATTCAACGAGGGCTGGTATGTTTTTGAAGCCCATTCTCCTGCTTTCTCCAACTAACCCTCTATTCCCTGACTAACCAAGAACCTTTCTATCTCTGTCTTAAATACACACAATGACTTGGCCTCCACAACCCTCTGCAGCAATGAGCTCCACAGATTCACTACCCTCTGGCTAAAGATATTCCACCTCATCTCAGTTCTAAAAGATTGCCTCTTTACTCTGAGGCTATGCAAATGGGTCCTAATCTCTCCTACTGGAGTAAACTTCTTCTCCACGCCCACTCTATCCAGGTCACTCAGTATTTTGTAAGTTTCGGTAAGATTTCTCCTCATCCTTCTAAACTCCATCGAGTATAGACCCAGCGTCGTCAATCGCTCCTGATGTGACAAGTCCATCATCCCCAGAATTATTCCTGTAACACCTTCTCTGGACCCCCTCCATCACCAACAAATCCTCACTTAGATACAGGGGCTCAAAACTGCTCACAATATTCCAAATGCAGTCTGACCAGAGCCTTACACAGCCTCAGCAGTACATCCCTGCTCTTGTATCCCAGTCCTCTTGAAATGAAGGCCGTACCTTGGAGGCACGGGTTCAAATCCTACCACAGCAGCTGGGAGAATTTTAATTCAAACCAATAGAGAGAGTCTGGTAATTGAAAACTGTGGTCATTAGAAACTGATCTGGTTCACTAGGTGCTCCTTCAAGTAAGAGAAACTACTGTCTTTCCCTGGTCTGGCCAGCCTGGGAGCTCTGTCTTGCTATGATGTGGCTGACTGTCTAGCGCCTTCTGAAATGTCAGCTGCGACACATTGTTACAGAAATCATGTTGCCCGTGTACCTATACCACTCTGAATGCAGCGGCTCAAGAAGCCAGCTCACGGACAACTAAGGAGGGTGGCCAATATCTGCTGGTCTTGCAATTATACCTTGAAGAAATATAGGTACCTGGGTGGAAACCAGGTCTAGCTGGGCCTTGGAACAGGTCACTGCCTGAACACAACCAAATCAGATGGTGACAGTCTCAGGATTAGAGGGTAGTACGTAACAGGTCTCGTTAATGTGGTTCTACACCCCACACTCGTCTGCTAAAAAGGAACTGCAGTAAAATAAAAAAAAGTCACCATTGGAGGTGCAGAAGAATAAAGCTTGATTTCCAAGAAGGTTCCATTAAAATTATTTTTGCAAATGAAGAGACCTGACTTTGGAAGGAGGTAGGTTTCACTAGCAGGTTAAAAATATATATATACTACATGCGCACACACACACGCACGCACGCACACACGCACACACAGAAATTCTTTGTAAAGCATGTTCTTTCTATATGTCATAACAGAGGAAGTTGGAAACAAGCTTTAAGGGCCATTATCTACTTTATTCTAAAAATACACCAGTGCAACATTTGTCATTCAATATTAACAATACAACAAAATATATCGAGACACAGCTTTTCCATAACATACTGAAACTCCCTTCATTAGAAAGGATTGATCTAGAGGCAGCAACAAACTAGGACATCAGCAAGTCCAGAGACTAAAAGCCTTGGCCCTCCCCTAGCCCAGAGGCAGTGGTGACAGTAGTTTATGAGTACAGTTGGTGGGAATTGACTGTAAGACTGCACACTGGTTCACAATAATGTACCATCATAGAAAATCCCAGTGTTCGAGGGGTTTGGCCAGGTTGTCCCAGTAAACTGCCTTCCCCCACATCCAATGAAATGTCACTGGAATTGTCCTCCAAATGCAGCCCCATACTACCAATGCTGCCTCTGGAATTAGAGACTAGGGGTATAGCAGAGGGGAGAAGATAACTGGGCTGTCAGAAACTTCAAACAGTGCTCACTTTGCCAAGATCGCATTCACAGTCCCTTCTTGTAGACTGGGGGAATGTGGAGCTTTAAATATCCTTCACAGCAAAACCACCCCCCCACCCAACCCTCACCAACAGGAGGCTGGGTGGCTACAATATTGAAATGATGTGGAGTTTCACCAATTATCTCTCCCCTTCCCGAGGAAAGGAGGTCGTCCAAGGTGCGATATCTCAACATAGCCGTCAGTGCGACAAGTCTGTTAGATTGTAGGGAGGCTGGTCCGAGGGTCCATGTGTTCTGCTAGCCTGATCATGAACCAGAGCAGACTCTAATCCCAACCTTTGTGGGCAACCGCTTTCTGTCTGAAACCTCCCCCCCCAGAACCCTGCCCACTGCACCCAACAAAGATTAAAGCAGAGAGACCGCTTGCAGGTTTTCCTTTATGATGGTGTCCATGACGACCTGGAAGACAACTTGGATATTGGACGTGTCGGTGGCCGTTGTGAAATGGTGGTAGATCAACTTCGCTGGGTTCCTGTTGAGAGACAGGAACTGACCGGCAACAAAGCGAGCAGCAGAATCCACATCGCAATCAGCACCTGGACAACAGAGAGATCGCTCATAAAACAAGGAGGCAACGCTAACTATTCATGTCTGACCCCTTCCACCTACGCCCCCGCTCCGCTGCCCATGCCCAAAACCACCCCCTTTCCCCATTTGTGACTGCCCCTTCTCTGTGCCACCCATTGCCAGCAGTGCACAGACTGGGCAGAAAGCAGATTACTGAAACTGTGAGGCAGGTTTGTAACATCACATGGCATTGGGAGGAGTGGGGGCAGGTCACCCTGAGTGAGATCTTAGAGCTTATTACAGTCCCCCTGTAAAGAAGGTATGACCAGTACCTTAGGAGAGCATAGAGGCATTTAAGGTCAGGGGGGAGATGTCCAATACTAATACAAGGGAACAGGGAAGGGAGAAATGTTGATGGGTCAAATGAAGGAGGGGTGCAAGGCCCACGTGGAGTAAAAGGGCTGGCACGAGCTACTTGGACCGAATGGTCTATTATTTCTGTGCTATGAACACCGGGAATGCACAGGAACACCAGCACCTGTTAGTTCCCGTCCAAGCTGCAAACACGTGGAATTATATCACCATTCCCCAGAGGAAAGGTGCAGAGCGGTGAGTTAATACAGTGAACCAAATCCTAAGACGTCTAGATAAGAGTAGACAGGGAAGACCTGGATCACCCTATCAGAGACGTCAATTACCAGGGGAGAAAGATTGAAGGTGATGGGTGGAAAAGGTTAGAAGTGTCTCATGTTGGATGGGAGTTGAGGCAGAGTCCTGGATCTGGCCTGAAAGCACTAGAACCTACAAGGCTATGGACTAGGGGCTGGAAAGTGGACTTAGAACTGATGGCTAGTTTTGTTTTTAGCCAGTGCTGACACGAGGTGGTGAATGGCCTCTTTGTGAGCCATATCTTTTCCAAAGCTACGTAGTGCTTATTGTCATCGCCAGGTCAAAATCCTGCAGCTTCCCTCCCTAACAGCATTATGAGTGCCCTAAAGACAGGGAAGGTTAGAAGGTGAGTTTTCCTGGAAACTCTATGCATTTGCTAACAGTCAGTTCCAGACTGGGATCTGGAATCAGGTTATGTAGGATGTGACTATAAGATCCAAGATAGGTCTCAGCAGAGTAAATCCAAGATGTTTCCCCAGCTGTGAGCAGTGGGGGTTTTGAGGAGGGGAGGGGAAGAGAGGGACGAGAGTCTAGAACCAGATGGACTGTCTCAGAATGAGGGGCAAGGAGTGAGACAAGCTGTAATTTCTTCACTCAGAAACTGGTGACTCAGAACTGAGTATATTCGAGAAAAGAGATTGATAGATTTCTAGATATTAAAGGTAGGAGGGACATGAGGATAATGTTCAGTTGAGGTAGATGATGGGCTGTGATCTAGCCAAATGCTACGGCAGGCTTGAATGGTCTGTTCCTCCTGTTCCCATTTCCCAAAGAACATTTGGGCAGGATGAGAATTCAAAGTCATAACAGGAGGGGAATCTCCAAAGGCGTACAAAGTGACCACTCACTGATCCTACAACCAAGCCCTTATTTCATTGGTGAAAAGAGGCTACATTCCCTTCAAGGCTTCTATTTCAAATTAGACTCTCTCATATCGCACAGCTTCCTGGGTTGAAGGGTTTCAATCTGATCCAGGACCCACTACAACATTATTCAATTGCTGCTCTCCTCTCCTTGAGGATGGGACGGGGAGGACACCAGATTTAGGTTAATCTGGTTGA